GGGCAGATGACAGAAGTACATGTCTAGAGAACAGGAAAGGAGGTGAAAGGAGAAGTTTTTAATAAAGAAGAAACATTTTCCGTCGATATCAAGTTTCGAACACGCGACCTATTGATTGCGAGGCGTAAACCGTACCTTTAGACCACGAGAGCCCCTCGTTTGTGTGGGTGAAAATATTTCGCTTTAAAATCCAAGCCAGTCTCTTGTCTAAATTGATCAGCCGCTTTTTCTATGTTTTGCATAAAGCAACAGCACATAGAGTGCAGGCACAATAATAATGCTGTCGTCGCAAAGAGACGGTGGCTTTATCATACTCATACTTTATGACGAGGAATCTCCTCGATCGAAAGAAAACTGGACGATAGACTGGAACGTGTAAACAGACACAGAAGTTCGATAAATGGACAGTTCTCGCATAGTGGGTATACGACGAATCTGACACAATTTATCGACAGTTAAATTGCGTGTAATCGGGGCTTAAGAAAACTGCTGAGTATGGGGCAGCAGCAAGGAGCTTAGAACTAGGGTTGGCCTTGGCAGGGAGCGCCGGAACCAGCCTCTTATAAATTTTTAATGTTAATGATCTAAATGGTGTCGCTGGGAGCATAAAAACACTTTCATTCAGAATTTTTAAAAAGGAAAACAACACCTGTGAAAACTTCTGTCCACTGGAGCATCAAATCGGTTCTTACACTTACACACAATACAGGCGGAAGGCATTTTTACTAACTGACAACACGACCTATCCCAATAAAACCTTCTTTCTTATCTAGATTTCAGTGCGTGAGTCGGGCAGCCGTCAGCGCAGGTAGACCATAGTTCCGCTGCGAGAGAGGGCCCCTATCAGGCGTATGGTGCCGCCACAGAGCATCCTCCATTACTTATAATCTCCTTGGGCAGTAGGTATTTTTTCATACATGTATTTGGATTATTAAGAAACCGTTAGGCCTAGGCCTAGGCCTAGAATCTACCTGTTATCATTATTCTCTCTCTCTCTCTCTCTCTCCCCCCCCTCTCTCTCTCTCTCTTTCTCTCTCTCT